ATGGTTTAATGGTGAACATGGTGGTAGGGCTACGTTGATGGTGGACTGGATGATGTTAAAGGTCTTTTCCAACCTTAATGATTCTATGATTGTAAGTGACTATCCAATGAAGAAAGCAAGCTGAACTTACCACTACCAGGAAAAATACCATGCAGCTTAATGAAAATCCACTGGTATAGCCAAGATACCCTGAAAGATATTAAAAAGAAGCTCACATTTTATTAGTCTTAGCTTGGTTTTTACTTATTTTTTGCTTCTTGATGGAAAGTTCAAATGTATTATACACTTAGCGAGGCTTCTGGTCAGGAGAAAACCATATCCTGTTCGTGTGGGAGTCTCCCACATTTGGAATTTCCAACATTGCAAGTCTCCTGGCTTTTGGACAGACCTGAGCCTTGCTCTGACCCATTTGACCTCCTGAGGGTCACCTTTACATCAGTTTAGCTAATTTTACTTTTGAAAGGGGCTGTGCTAATTGCAAAAAAACCCTGAAAGTGTGCAATTGCAATCAGACTGTGACCCAGATTCCCTGATACAAGTCGTGTCAGCTGAGTTTGGGTTACTTTTTCAAATGGAAGATCCCAACTGGACTTTGCTGCCAAATGTTGCTACATGGTTTTAAAACAGTACAATACCTCCAATTGTACAGAAGTACAATACCTCCAATTAACCTCACCACTAAAAATTTTGATGCTGACAGAATAGTAACTTATTTTTTGTAATCTCACAATTTGTGAACTTTTTTTTACAGGCTGCACATAAAAGAGAATTTCCTTATGAAATTAAGACCCTCTTGGTTGTAATTTTTAAAGTCAACTTCCACACTTGTATGTACAAATCTGGTTTATACTGAACTCATTCACTGTCATAATTTAGGCTTCCTTGTTCCAAGATGCTCAGAACACATTATTTCTGCACCGGGGAGGCTGCTTAGATTACAATGAGAGCACATTTTTCTTATTATAGCTGAGTTTTCAGTGTGATTGTCAAGAGGCATGATGTCTACGTTCCTTTATTTTATTCCCACAATGGCATTTTCATCTTACCTAAGTTCTTAAGGAGACATAAAGGGAGGATTATACCAAACGTCACCATGACAACAAGAATCCGCCCATCCACGTACCATGCCCTGTATAAAACATTTAAAAAAACGTGCCATGAGGACACCTTAAACACTCTCTGGTTTTCCTCATACTCAGTCATCCCCTTTGACTGCTGTACTACAGAACTATCTTTGGTCTCTTTCCCCTACAAGCTCCTACAAAAGGAGAGATGGGGCCACATCTCAACTTTGTAGACTCATTAAGTATCTGGCCCTTAAAACATGGTACTGCTCTGATGTAGATATGGCAGATTTTCATAGTCACTGGACAAAAGATCACCCTACTGGTGATATCAGTGTGACTGAGAAGCAGAACAACCATCTCCATAACTGAATATAAGCCACCCTGCCAGGATGACTAAAGATCATACAAAAGGCCACACATCCAGGCATGTGCCTGGAGTGACAAATCAGGATCCTGCAGGCTGGCATGCACTAGCCAGACCAAGTCTGTACGTCCTCTAGCAAAGGGCTTTGAATCCTACTGGAAATCAAGAACGAGAAGGGGCAGTGTTAGTGATGTTCTGTACTGCCACTGCTTGGTCCAGTTTAGTATGAAAGCCTGAGGCATGGAACCTCTACTACCATCTCATGCACTACAACCTGGCGTGAGGGAAAGTTAGCACTATAAAGAAAATACCACCCCTCTATGGCGTGAGGGAAAGTTAGCACTATAAAAAAAATACCACCCCTCTTAATTATTAAAGAAGCTGGTAAATGTCAAGGAGTGGTAAGTGGCAGAAATCTAGGTAAAATATTCTGCAGTTGCTACATGCTAGTATTGAAGAATTTCATACTACAGACAGTGTTTCAGAGGAAAATCCTGTAAAATGTTGTGAATGCGGGGAAATACATAATATCTTCAACTTGCATTGTTCCAAATATTTTCAAATGTTGCCTAACGCTGTAAAATGTTGGATTCTGTAAGAGTTTTGTAGAAATCACAACTCTTCAGGAAAATCTAGTGGGAGAAGAGAGTTAACTAAAGTTTTCATTTCCTATCCATCTTTATTTCCTTCCCAAAGCTGTCTTGGCTTTTATTAACATCCTCTGAAATATTCCTGTGAAAATCTACTTTGACAAACCTAAAGGGTATCCCATACTTCAGAGCTTTCATAAACATAAACTTAACTACACAATGTTAAACTCTACAGTCTAATTGCCAAAATTAATGCAACTTACGAAAACGTTTCTTCTTTTCCCATTAGAAACTTTATGGCAGAAGGCAGCTCATTTTTGACTATGAAGAGATAGCTCAACATTGCTGGAAGAAGAAGAAGGTCAGTTTAGAAAATGAGTAAAATCTTTTGTTGAACAAAAACAGAGAAGCATTCTGAACCTTTCTGCACATCAATGTCTGATCACAGAAGAGCCCAAACTATGACTGACTGTAAATTAGTGATAAATTACTAATCATTTTTAAAGGGCTGCATGCAAAGTGTTATCCACAGCTATAAGAAGGAGCATGAAGATCCCAGGATGTCACAGAGAGAAGGAGGAACCTGACCAGTTTTAACATTACTAAGATGTTCCTGGGCTTTGTTTTTCAATGGCACTCATTTCCTTTACCTCCAACGTTCTGAAGAGATGTAGATCCAAAAACAATCATTTTCCCTGGGGTACCAAAGACCTGCTCACCAAGCTTTTCATACACCATGCAGCCTGCACGAAAAGAAAAGAGGATAAAGGTAACAAATAACACCAATGGAAGTTGTTGACTTGAAATACTTAAGATTTGACTGTACCCATCTGTGCAGTCAACCCTGCCCTTTGCAAGTAAATAGGGGGCTCTCCTGCAATTTCTAGGGCTGAAGCTTATGTAGGAATGTTTTCTTGACTTCTATAAATGTTATCATTGGCTACCAGTCACTTTTGAAATGGAAGCTCTTAATGAGACTACCACACCCCTTTAATGAGTCTGTCTATACCCCTAGTGACATGTTAAGTCATGGTATCCCCATCCTGGCATATGAGGTTTGTGCCCACAATGAGTGATGTAGAAAACCTCCTCTCCAGCCAAAACCCAGTGTGGCAGGACCCACAGGTCAGCACTGGCAGCCTGACCACTGCAGACACAGGATTGCCATTCTGCAATTTCATTTGCTCTGTCAGAACAATCCAGAGGAGGACAGCCAGTGGTTTACAGGATCATTTACAACTTCTAATGATGAAGCCTTAACTTGTGAATTCTCAGCATAGTCTATTTTTGGTAAAAGCAGGGAAAGGTGTAAATTATAACTAACATTTGTTTTTTTAATATCTGTCAAGACTGAGAAACTCCTCTATTAATTGGTTTGTGCTTCTGTTAAAAATTTTTTGCCTTGGCTGTGATTTAGGGTGAGAAAAAGACTGGGCATTGTCAAGATGGTGAGATACATGAGAAAAGAGAGAGAAATACTGCAGATGTTATGTTGTGCAGATGATTTTTAAAATGCATCCCATTGTTTGGTTTTCTCTATATTTCTTTACAGCTGACATTTCTGCTTTGAAGCTTGTATAAAAAATAAGTTTGAGCTTAAATGTACCACAAATGCAGCACATTGAGGCATATATACCTAATTTAAATAGGCAGTTGCTGCCATTATACATGCTATAAAAGTAACTTATGTGTGTCCAAATTGCATATTTAAATATTACAGTGTTCTTGTGCATAGATAATTTTAAAAATATGGCTTCAGAGCTTGTTAACAAGAAAAGAGGCTCTTGGACGTCAGAGCACAGTGACATTTAACACTGTAGGTAGCTTCTAATTTCTGTGTTTAGAATGTATTCTACCTACAGATAGACTTCTCTCTGTGGAAGAACTGTACCCTTTTATTTTCTTCTAGGAAAACTCCTACTACTTCACAAAGGTTATCAGGAATTTCACACTAACCATTAAGGACAAACTATTTCCAGGTAAGCTTCACCATAGGCAAAGATTCATTATATTTCATTTGAAATTTGCTTTGTAATGCAAAGAAACTACATGAGCTGTTCCTTGTACCTCACTGAAGACAACATTTCTTGGCAGCAGAATTCACTTTTTGTCGAAGTTTTTATTGTGATGCTGTTCTCCACTGTCATACCATAAATTCTTGTTCATTTTTGTTAATTCTGGGCTTCTGACCCAAAATGTGTCAGGTCCTTCTATTGTGTCAGCAAAGTGATAGAAACTATTTTACACAAAGCACCTGGCCTCATCTGAACACTTTTCACCTCTTGGTTTTTACAATTTTACTGAAATAGTGCAACATTTTAAATTACCTGTTTCCTTTGAACACACCAACAGGAGATGTATTGAATAAATAGACAGCAGTGTGACTGAAATCAAAAGCAGCCTACAAAAGAATGGAAAACAAAGCTTACCAAAGGAGCAGAGGTCTAACATTGCAATATTTCATGTCAGGTCATATTCCCATTGACTCTGAGTTTTTTTTTATTCCTCTGACAATGCAAAAAGCCCTAAAATACATGTGGTTCATATGCTGTTTGCAGTTTCTCCACAGAGGTAGAAAACCCTGCATGAGGAGGGATTTGACCAAGTAAAACTTAGCAGAACTGCAAAGAGCAGCCTGTTAGTCAGTTAAACCTCCCCATGTTGAAAGAAGCAAGAATAAAGATCTCTTACCAGAGAGGAATTAAGACTAATCAGTGCATGGACAAGTCAGCATGTCACTGACCATCTACTCTAAAGCTTTTTTTTCTGGAAGCAGAGTGGAAATTTGGAGGAAAGTCCTGTGTTTGAGGACTTCCATGCCAAATGGAAGCTTTTTTTCCCGGGACATGCATCACAAAATACCAAAGGGGTGCCCAGATGGCTTTGTATGTGTCTCACAGTACCCAAGGAGGAGGAAGAGGTGGGAAGTTAAGGCTCAACTGGCTTCCCTTTGGAAAAAAGGCAGAAATCAAAAGCTTATATCCACGTGTAGAGTCATCTTTCCTTGCTGATGTCAGTCCCGGTCCGATATGATTCATAATTTAACTTCACATAGAAGAATTGCAGGAAGTAATGACCAAACTGTTTGTATAAGGACTTGCTGGCACAAATGACAATCAGTCAGTGCTGGGGGCTGAGTGTATAAAAACACATCTTCTCATTGCTCAATGCCTTTAAACCAAGCACCATGTGTGCCTTCCCCTCTAACACTGACACACAGAGACCTGATGATGTTTTCATGATGTGTGTGAAGAGCATTCAGACAATCTGTTGGCAATTCCTCTTTTTATTATGACAAATACCCTCAGGACACTGAGAAAAATAAGACTAAAATGTAACAGAAAACAAGCTGCTGCCACAGAAAGACAGCAGCACATCTTTTTCATATGAATACACAGAAAGAATAGGGTAAGAAGCCTCCTCCCCCAACTTTTTTATTAGTTTAGACTGGAAATACTTTAGTGTGAAATAATGACCAGCAAGTTTCTTGGAGCCAGAGGAGCAGGGAGAAACATAAAGAGGTGATAGGAGGAACTGTCCTTTTGCCAACAAAGAATGACGGTTGACAATAACAACACGCTCTTTGTACAGCCTAAAGGGTGTTTCTCCTAGAGAAGGTGGAGAAGGAGATTGTACTGGCTGAGGTCACTCTGCTCCAGTTTTTACAGATTTGCTAAGCCCTGCTCCTGCTCGTGTTCCCTGCTGAGCTGTTTCGCCCCTGTCTGCCTGCAGCACAGCACTCAGCCCCAGAGCTCATCTGCTGGGGCTGACTCACTCCCAGCCCCAAATGGCTCCAGCTCTGCATGCCAGCACCAAGTCTGTCTTAATATTAAAAGCTCCCATTTTTCCGGCACTGAGCTCACGGAGCCTCTGCAGTGGTAAAAATAACACTCCCGAGCAGCCAGGTATTTATCTGATCTGTTGTCCTTAGCTCCCCATAGGGTTCTTACAGTCACTTGGCATTTTCATTAGCACTGTGTGAAAAACTTGTTTGTGTTAGGGCTGTGGTATGGACAGTGATATTTGCGCCAGAACCACCCCTTGGAAAGGAATTAAAATGTCCATGCCACTTGCTCTGCACAAATTCAAAACAGAATCAGCGGAGCCTGCACTGAAGTCCCAAAAGCACTCCCCTACTTTTTGTTTTGCCTGCTTTTAAGGAAGTGCTGGTAGCTATGCAAGCAAATGGCAGATGCAAAAGTCACCTCTCCCAAAAAGAATAAACAGTTTAGGCCAGGGGACTGATAGAGTACTGGGAAGAACAAACCGTTCCTGTAATGCCATTGCTGTTTTCTCCCAGCTGCTGCACTTACCAGGTCAGCTGGAACATGTGCTGTCCCCAGACCTCTGCCTTTGGGGCCAGAAGACCTTGTGCAGGCACCTGAATTATTTCACACAGTAGTTCTGAACCCTCATAAGGTATTGGGTGCAGAGGAGCACAGAAGAGCATGGGGTTTACCTCCCAGAGGGCTGGTCTGCCAGCCTGCCCTAAACCTCTGCAGGAGTTAGGCTGCAGCTTTGTGACTTCCTTCAGCCAAACCTAGAATAAGTGGCTGAAGGAAGCAGTGCGAAACTTCAGGTGTAGACTCATACTATCTAGTCTATAGTCTTATCTAACAAGCCCCTCTGCCTCAGCAGAGTTTTTTCAGATCGTGTGCAGTGCTGGGCTAGATGCAGGCTGAAGGCACCTTGTGCTTGGCATCTGCAACATAATCCATCGCTCTGGATCTTGGTCTCCAGGATGAAACCACAGGCGGCAACAACTGCTCCTGCCATCCCTAGGTGACCTAGCTCACCTCTAACTTCCCACATGTTTTGTGCCATCTTTCTGCAGCAAAGTGTTCTCTCCTTCTGCATACAGAAAATGATGTTCTCTTTTGGTCTACCAACACCACTGGGATTAAGTTCCTCAGCTATTTTGCCTGGAAAGTATGATGTTTTGTTATGGCACTAAGTTATGCAAATAGGATGTGTCATTGTCATGTTTATTTTGCACATCTTGTGCTTGTCAGAGCATGGGTGAAGTATCACATACAGGTTACAATACTGGGCAAAAAAAGCTGCAAAAATAAAACAAACTCTCCCTCTGCTAAAGAAAGATGTAAATTACAGTCCAGATACTTTATAGCCTAGCTTAGGGACAGCACAATTATGAGACTTTGTATGTTCTTAATGTAAACGGATTAACTCCTTGGATTATTCCTGGACTGCACTCAACCACAGCAAACTGTAAGCTAGCAGCATGGATCTAGCTAACCTGGCACAAACCCCCACAGCAGATGGCTATATGCATCACTCTGGCCATCTACTCTGCTATGCACAGGATTAATATTATATATTTCCCCAAAACAATAAAATAACAAAAGTTCTAGATATTTAGATTTGACATTCAAGAAATGACACCTCTTCAGAGCAATCTGTAAATTCAATAACCGTGTTGAATAGTTCTCAAATATTGTGAATGATCCTATTTCCTTCCTCAATGAACATTTATCACTGTAATCTGCACACAATTCCCAAATGATTTCTTAACAAACACTTTTCACAATGAAACGTCTCAGACTGAGATCCAGAGTAACACTGTGTCTTAGTCATTCAATGGCACTGTTTCATTTTAAAACTATTAAATCCTCCTTTATAAAAAGCTTCTTTTTATTTTCTGGAGTTAAGTACTCTATCTCAACTCTTTTCTTGTACTAAAATGTTAGCTATATTTATGTTGGCTCTCAAGGACTCTCACAAAAGAAACTGAAGAAACTGTGGGAGTGAGATGAAAATATTATATGTAACATATAAAGGAGTATAAATATTCTTAGTTTAAAAAGATGTTTATTGCACTATGCTTTGAAGAAAGCTCTAGAGATCCTGTGTGTTACAAGTAAGAGCTAGGTACTAGCCCACTGCAGCTATTACTTCTGAATATTTCCGATGTATGTGTAGCTTGTGGAGAATACGAAAAAACCCCTGTCTAGGTCTGTAGTAAATAACATGGACTTAATTTTCTCTAGCATTACAAGTAGTGGCTTTTCCCCAGAAAATATCTGACTGAAAAAAAGATGTCTAAAACTTGTAGCTAGTATTTTCAGGCTTGAATTCTGTACTTGATTACAGATGGACTATAAATCCCTCCACTTGCTGGCAGAATACATATTCTTTAAATACAGTGAAACTGCAGGAACATCAGCTACTCACCACATGAATACTTACAGAAAAAGGAGAATTCCTGTGTTGGCCAAGGCAAAAGCAAGACCCAAAATCCCACTGCCCATAATTGCATTGCTGAGGTTGAAGACAGACATCCCCAGTGAAGTAGTTCCTGGGATCTGGAGAAGTAAAGACAGACATATCAACAACTTGGAACAGAGGAGGAAAATGCACCTCTGCCTCAAACTCCATATTTTGCAATGTATCAGATGTAAGTAACTACTGGTTTGCAAATGACTAAATAAAAATTGGTTTGAAAGAGGAAAACCTGAACCCTGTCACAGTGACCCTCTGATTGCTGTCCAATAGATTTTATAAAGTGATGTACATGGTATAGGCAATACACAACCCATACTACACTTTCAATTTTAAGCCCCATCTTTCACTCTGCCTGTGAAACATCTTAGGCACATAATTTATATATGGTAAGGCCATAAGGAACCACCATGACTTCCTGCCCAGCACAGGCCAGAGAGATTCCCTTGCCTCAACCCAACCAAAATGCTTTGGGTTTTCATTTGTTTTGAAGTTTTATTTAAGTGCTGATCCCAGGCACTTCCTACTAGTACCTGAATTCAGTTATAATTGTGTGTGCCTAGCACTTTTGAAGATGATGTCTAAAGGCCCTTCACATACACAACATGCAGTTCATTTTGACAGGGAACAGAACAGTGAGAGAGACTTACATATTCATCACATTTCTTCTTCTCCAGGTGGCTGTTTGTGAGACTTCTTCGGCTTTCTCGATCCGAAATAAACTTGCTGAAAGATGTTAGAGGATTTATTTCCAGCAAGTGCTTAGAAAATGTGAACACATTAATTCTATGAGCAGCATGTGATTACAAAATACGCACTGTATAAAAACTGTATGTGAAAAGAGGTCAAACTCATAACTGTTTAATGAGCCAGACTATGCTTCACTGATACAGAGTACACCGGGCATCAATAAAGGTAACACCAGCAAAAGATCAGAAAAAATGTATATGTATCTACAGAATGTTCTTTTAGGCAATTTACTAAAGCAGCAACACTGATTTTGTGGATGGGAAAGTAATTTGTTTGCACAGATGCTGAGAGGAGATACTTCTCCAGGTGTCTTGCAGAGGCGCATGTGACTGGTACCCCCTGCTCCCAGCCCCTGCTCATGGGGTTAGCATAACGAATGCAATTTCATAAGGCAAGCAGTCACTCTGTGACTGAGTGGGTCATGTATTCATTCCTTTCCCTCATTATCAGGCCCTGAAGGTCCTGTTGAAGCAAGCAGACAAACCAAACAGATTTCTTCTTCCCTTCCCTATTGACCTCGAGACTCCTGGGCACCAGGCTCAATTACTTCCTTCCTTGCCAGCCTGGAACAGATTGTCCAGAGAGGCTGTGGAGTCTCCCTCACTGGAGATATTCAAGAACTGTCTGGATGCAATCCTGTGCCATGTGCTCTATGATGACCCTAGAGAAGGGAGGCTGGACCAGATGACCCACCAGGGTCCCTTCCAACCTGATGGATTCTGTGATTCTGTGAAGGTGCCAGGCACTCAGCTCACCAGGCAGTGGTGATGACCCTGTCACAGAAGAGGGAAGCGTAACAGCATCCCAAGCACTGACTGTAAAACCAAGTAGTTACAAGTACTAACTGGGGAACTTGGAACCACAGCTGCTTCTGTGCAGTGAGACCAAGGATTGCTGCTGGCCAGGGACATCCCCCTATCCTCTGCATCCTCCAAGGCTTAAGGGAGTGACTTCTATGCTTTTATATGACTTTTGAGTCTAGATTATGATTGTATACTAATACAACAAACCATGTATTAAGATTTGACCCCATCTGTTGAGGGTCCAGGTGATGAAAAATCGTAAGTTAAGTTGTACTATAAATTCTGTACTATGCTACTTACAGATTGTACTACATTGCTTCTGCTTGTAGAAATCCTGCACCATTCTAATCACAAATTCTGTGCTACACTAATCATAATAGCCTGTTAAAAAAATAGAGCTTTAATTGTAACTACAATTTATTACCATCGTAATTCTGTGACTGAGTGGGTCATGTATTCATTCCTTTCCCTCATTATCAGGCCCTGAAGGTCCTGTTAAAGCAAGCAGACAAACCAAAAGATTTCTTCTTCTCCTCCCTATTGACCTCGAGACTCCTGGCCCTGAAAGGCCCTGTCTGTCACTGCTAGGTGACACTGCAAAACCCTACATTGCCACAGAAACCATAAACTGCCACATAGGGTCAGTATGGCTGGAGTCAGGAGGAGGAAGATGTGCCACATGTAGCCAGCACTGCCTGAACCATCCTGAGCCAGGTGACCTGCTCTGTTGATGCACTGTTCTGGGCTACTGGATTTTCATGTAAGAGTCTTTAAAAATCCAATACTGAATTCACCATACTGCAAAATTAAACACGCACAGGGAAACATGGAATAAACAGCTTTTCTTTCTCTTTACCCTTTACTTGTTCTGTGACCTTGATATAGCTGCATTTAGGAACTTACTGTCCTTCTGCAGCTGTGTCGGCATCCTTGGGATTTACGACATTTCTGATTTGGACGAGCTGTTATTTTCTCACAGATCTTCTCTCCAACAAACATTTTAGTTTGTCTAAAGCATTCTTGTGGCTTTTCATCTTTTGAAGGTTTATGCACAATTAAGTCTCTGGCATCTTTGTTAATCCACAGATGGTTCTTGGTCTGCACTGGCTAATGCATCAGCCACCATATGTGTCACATACCTAACCAGGGGCTGTCACCAAGAGTCAGAGACCATTTTAGCATTAGGTAAATTAAGTCAGCTCTTCTGAAATTAAAACATGCAAACAACACTGAACACAAAGAGCAGCACTGCTGGACCTTTCCCACAGATGGGAACATCTACTGGCTGGGCATGTATAGTTCAAACCATGTCTCAAGACTGTGCATCATCTGAGTACATCCAGCAGATTCAGGCTGGTAATACAACCAGGAACTTATAAAGACAGAGCTCTATCAAACTTCCATACTACCCTGGTTGTGGCCTAATTGCTAGTGATATATGCTAGCACAGCTTCTAAGCCTATGCCAAAATCATGCAATTATAGTGCTGCTGACTTGGCTTCCACAGCTGACACACTGGGCCTAGTGTCTTTAACATTTTGTGTTCTGCATACACATTTTGTGTTTATCCCTTAAATCTGGGCATAGTTGGCAAAATGTATGCAGCATTTTTGCTGGGTTTGTTGCAATTTTGACTCCTACTCATTGGTCTGCTTTCATTTCCTTTACATCAATAAAAACAACTGTAGGCTTCTCCTGTATTTTTTTAATACTAACTTCAGCAACTAGTTTGCTGCAAAATATAGACACCATGTCAGATTTATCAGCCATAATGCAGTTGAAATAGATGGCTGAACATCCCCTATTTCCTCAAGAACTGAAAAGCAACCACTTCTAAGATAGACTGATCCAAAATAACCTTTCCAAAGCTCACCTTATAGGTATTTCATCCTCATGGAATAAAATCTCAACCTGATTCAGAGCATGTGCTTTTTTTACTTATGTCTGTTTAAAGTCCATCTCTTGAACACAGGCAGCAGAGTGTGAACAGTTTGAAAAAGACATTCCAGCTCTCTCTCGAAACACCCTGCAGGCAATTTGTACAGGCAAGAGCACAGAGAAGAGTTTTGTCTCTTTTGGATTTGTAACTGCTGCTGGGAACATCTGTGGACTTTTCCTTCTTTTGTCATTTATGGATATCATGTGTCATTTTAAATTTTGTCAAGAGTTATGATAGAAGTCCCTAGTCTGGTCCCCCTTGTTCTGGTACAAATTTCTAGATACTACTATTATTTTCTCCTGGTATTAGAGTTCCATGAAAATTACTGTTAAAAACTAACACATGATATTGATAACACTTGAGTAATATTGCTTGAATATAAAGCAACCCTGGGACTTTTCATTAGAGTACTACTGACAGAGTAAACAGCTTCTGCAGAACTGGTATCTTCTGTGGCCAACATTTTATTTCCTTCTGGACAGGACTTTGAGACAACTAGTCTGATGTGATAAATTGATCCAAAGTGTTTTCTTCTGAGTGAGTTCTACATAAAAACGGAGTGGGTTTGTTGTCCAACCTCTCATCTCCTATTACAAGCTGGGCTCCTCATCCACCCCACGCTTACCATGTCACACTGCACATTTTTCTCAATTTACACTGTGTAATGTGTACAGGAGGGCAAAGTCAGACACAGGAATGTGGCTACTGGGCTCCCAAACCACAAGGTACATAGCATCAAGCCCAGTTTTTTTATGGGGTGCCTCCCAGCCCCAGGTTGGCTTGCCCAGAAAACTCAGCAGTGATGCAGTGTGGGGGGATGTGGAGTCTGTGCTGCATTTGCTGTTGCAGGCAACTTAACCTGCAAGTTCAGACAAGAAGGTTGCCTTGGGACAATGCTTGGGAGGTGGTACAGCCATACCATACGACAGACAAGTCTTCCATAAATGGAAAGTACTACTGATCTTAAATTAAGAAAAAAGTAGGGAGGGAGGTAATCCAATGAATTCAACAGAAACAAATTTTACCAAGACACTGCTTTTTATAATTTATTTTTTTTAAATTTCAGTGTGAGTTTTTTCCCCCTATAGCATATGAAAGGAAACATGTTGGAATACTGGAATTTCTAGTTACACTGTGCCATGCATCTGCTCTGCTTAATAGATGTGCTTAGAAAACAAGCCATTCATTGGCACAGAATGTTGTATATTTGACCTTTATAAATATGACACAAGTTAAGTGAAACGCCTGTTTACGCCAGCCTCTCCCAGCCCTCCCATGGACCAGAGGCCACTGTGAAAGGTGCTGTGGCAATGCACTGTAGGACCATCTGTGCACAGCCTTGCGACAGCCTGACAAGCATGAAACCCATTGGCACTGTTTGTTGTCTTCGTTTCAAATGCTTTACTCATCATTAAAAGACATAACCTGTTCTTATATATTTCTGCTTTCCTGTTGTGTTTCCTACATCACAGCTAAGTATGAACAGCTTATACAAAACTTTTCTGATAAATGAATGAAATACCCTGGCCAAACCATAATGAGCTCATCCTTGAGATACATGAAGCCTCACAGTTGTCTTGGAAGGAATATCTTAATTTAATTATTTTCCTGGTTTGATTTAGTGCAAAGTACAAACTTAGTCCTACTGATGAAATAGTTTAAGAAAGATGATAAATAATGGTCTCCAAATTTCATTTATTAAAGGACTCCAATGAGAAATATTTGTTTAAGGGGATATCCCCAAGTTAACCATTTTGGCTAAGTAGAGTTAGCCAAAAACCATTTAGCCATCTCGGATATGTTTACACTGATTAAATTAAAATTATAGTTGACAATGCCTTAAACGTTTGTTAGGGAAACCTAGTTTTGTCAAGATGACAGAACCTTATCCTTAGGCAGCTTCTTAAACTGTGCTAATTTGAGCAGTGGCAAAGTTTGCCAGGGCAGGCAGGAACAAGAAATGCAGAAGAAACCTTGGTTTGACTTAAACTATGAAACTTGAACCAGATCTGGGTATACCTACTAACAACCTTGTTAACTGAACAACGGGTGCTGATAACTTACTAGCAGTAGCTGTAAACCAAGAGAGGCATTCAGACATCAGCTACCTGAGAGCATTGTCATAGTTATGGATAAAGAGTAAGTAGTTTAAATACTGATTTACAGTTATATGCAGAGGTAGCAAAGTTTTATAGCCAGGAGACATGGTTAAAAGTCACCAAGTCTGGTTTTGTTCCAAGTCTCTCAACTGACATTCCCAGAAGAAATTCTCATTTAATATCTGCTCACAAAGAAAACCCTCTCAGTACAGCCTCTTCCAAGCAACATACCCTCCCTACATACAACTGCATACTTAGGCCCAGAGAAGGCTGGAAATCCAAAGGAAACTAGAGAATTCTTTTCCAAGATCAAGAAATATTTGGAGTTTACAACCAGACTCAGAATCAACTTCTGTGTGGTGTATCTTCTCCAAAAGACCCTTAAAAACTGTGCTCTACATTAAGCTTGAAAAATTATGCACTGGGAGAAAAAGATGTTTAAAAATTAAATACAGAGTGCAAAATCAAACAGGTTGAAACAACAAAATAACAAGTTAGTTGAAAATTACAGATCTAATCTAAAGCTCAAGTGAAATCAACACAAAAAGTCTCACTGATTTTGATGGACTTTGGAGTTTCACAAGACCTCACACCATGTGCCAAGCAGCACAAAACATGTTATTCCCTATGCCTGTTAACCTCTTATTCCATGGAGAAAAGGCGTTTGCCAAAATATTATAAAAAGGGAATAACTATATCCTTTCAGGATGCATTCGGCATAGGGTGCAGAGCAGAATCCACCCACCTGCTCATCACACATGATGGTGTGAAGGTGTTTGCACAGGGCAATGGCCAAGAGTGGCTCAGTCACAGCCTCAGCCCCAGGGGATTCTGACAGAGCTGCACTGGTGTGAATCTGCTGCTGGGAGCTGTGGTCAGCACAAGCTGCTTTGAAACGCTTGTTTAAGACATGAAGGGCAACATGAACAAACCATAACATACAGGGCAAAATACTCATGCCTGGGGTCTAAGTAGCTGTCCCATGAGTGCCCTGCCAGAGGGATAACAGAAAACTGTAATGGGTTACATCCTACAAGCAAATGATGCCCTTCCAAAGAAAAAAGTTATGCAGAAAGGAATAGAAAATTGTGGAATATAGTCATCTGCCCTAAGAGCTGGAACAGTAATCAGATATACTGCCTCTGAGTTTCTGACCCTCTTTCCTCACCCCTCTTTTCTTCTTCCTTTTGCAGGCAGCCTGGATCCAACCCAGATCTTGCCATGCTTACAATGCTCTAAATCCATAAAGCACACTGTGACTGCAGAGGCTCAGGCACATACAACACGCTCCTTCCCCACCCTCCATAAACATTCACTGAAAGATGAAGCACTAACAGAGTTTTTTTCCCGTAACAGTTACTGGTGGCACCAGCCAAAGTCTGGGGAGGTGCAGCCAGCCCAGTACAGCCACTCCTTCCTTCGAGGATATAAATCCTAGGCAGGCTCCAGGGAACAAATTTACCACTCAGCCTCTGAGCTCCTCTCCTTATGACATGAACCAGCAGGAAAGCAAGCAGGTTCATACTGGAATTGTTTTGTTTTGGCAAAGTTGGAGGGTTTTTTTTCCTTGCTCTTGTTGTTATTTTTTTCCCTTTTTTTTCTTCTTTTACAAAAGTGGTTTGTGTTTTGTTTTGGTACTTTCCACCAAAGCAGTTGCATCAGAAAATTCCTGACCAGCTCTAATCTTCATCAGCGCAGCTGTGCTGCGGTCACACCACTACACACCCTGCTGGCCACGGCCCCAGGACTTCCCCGGGGCGGGTGGTGAGGGGAGAAGGGTGGCACTCTCCTCCCAGGGGGCTTGTCTATGCCACCAGCCACGGCTCCCTGCTCTGTCCCACAGTCTGGCTGGTTTTGCTATGTGAATGCTATGGCCAGTGCTGGGTGCTTATTCCCACACCAATCACACCCACACAGCCAAGAGAATCACATGACTCTACCCTCACTTGGGGAGAAAACAACTCTGAGTTTTGGTTCAGCACTAGAAAGTGAGCTTCTTGGGTAGCCAGAGAAGACGCTGCCAAAAGGAACAAAAGGCAAGAGAAGAAAAATTTAAAGACCATAAACATGGTGGCAGCCCAGCAGTAGGGAGCAGGATGATGTACATCACCTGCACAGGCTTCCCAGCAGCACCAGTGCCAGGCAGGGCTGGATCCCTGCACAGGCACTGGCTGCACAGCATGCTCCACCTCCGGCTGCAATATTTGAACAGGAAGTTTAATCGAAAAGAGCTTCTCGTTTTACAGCTCACAAAACCCAAACAGGGTCTGTCAGCAGGTCTCTACTGTAAACAGGACAGCTCAGCACCTGTTGGAGGCTGGCAGGAAGGGCTGGAGAACTGACCTCTGGTGGAACAGGCAGCTCTTTGGAAATGACTGTACAACTTATAGAAAAAGCCAACAGCCTACATTGTACCAATAACAACTGTACATAATAATTTTCATCAAAACTGATGCATTTTTTAAACTTGATAAGTGTTAGCTGTAAGCCTCTGTTTTACCATCTTCTTGCCACCCCTGACTCAAGGGAGCAAACTGTTTATCTTGCCAAATTGCAAACACAGACTGGGACTACATTTGCTGCCAGTCACACCAGCTGTAAATATCTGGGAGCTTGGATGCATGGAGGTGACCCGGCAAGTTAAAACTGTCATATTGGAGATCAAAGGTCAACAAAGAGATTTGCCCTACATTATGTCATTTTCTTAATTATTATTACTTCTTTGCTGTGTGCAAGCAGACATTTCAGTATGTTGGCTTCTTGTTACATTATACGTTTGTGAATTTTATTAGGCTAATTTGAAAGATTCAAAATGATGAATAAATTGCCACTCTGTTTGCTTTATCTGCCATTGCAGCCTATGCCCAACAGATGTTACGTATGAAATTCAAATTACATCTTCAAATGGAGCATGACTTGGTAATGAATAATTCAAGACATATACTGAAAATCAGAATGCTGTTTTTAAACAGTGTGTTTCTTAGCAAAGGCAACATCACTGGAAAAATACTCACCTATTTATCTGGCCATTTTCCACCTCTGTGAAATCATTTGAATCATTGCTGATGTTATCATCTTCAGGGACAGTCATATTCTGCAATTCAGTCAGTTCTAATCCAGCTTTGAAAGGCATCTTGGGTGATGAACTGTGCTTATCCAAGTATTTCTCCAAATACTAGTGTTTGGTTGGTATCTTGTGAGCAAACTGCAGCCACAGTGTCAGCAACCTAAATAAAACACAAGAAAAAAACCTCAAAGATGTATACCACCAACAGAGGCAATATCACCAGAAGAAACCATTGAAACCTGCACAGGAGGGACCATCCTTACTAACCAATTTTGTATTCTTAGACCTCAGGTTATAACCTAAATTCAATGCAGAACAGTACTAATCTTCTATGCCTCACAGAGATCAACCTCACTAACCATACAAATTTACCCAGTTCTGCAACCAAGAGCTGAAGAGTACTTTATTTATAAACCAGTGAGCAAACAAAGTCCTGTTTGCTTCATGAAAAAATACTAACCACCTACAAATCAAGGAATAAAAATTATTTGCTTGCTCACGTCCCATTTCAATATTTTGTGTTTGTCTTCTGTATGTTCCCCATTCTTACTTAAAAATATAAAATATATTGTGTCCATGCTGATGCTAAGTGGATAGAAAGAGGGACAGAGTTATCCCAGTACTCTGTTCTACTAATATATTTTTTCCAGGTATTTGAACATGTTAAGGATTTTTGGTAAAGAGGATGTGCAGAGGATGCTTAGTGTATGGTTAAAACTATTACGAACAAGGAGAGAAACAGACAAAACCAAATCCCTAAGCTCTTGTTTCACAGGAAGAAAGAGTAACGTATACTTTGTGTCAAGCAGTTATTATCTAGAGATCAGGTGATCTCTCCTCTGATACATGTGTCCTATAAAAGCACCAAGAATAACACCAAAGGCAGACCAAAAAAGTCTGCTATAGTGACATATTTCCTCATCAGCAATGCAAATCAGCTGAAAGATGGTATTTTCTGGAGTCCAGCCACTCTCAGCTGAGCTCCAGCGTGATGCTGAAGCAACAGGACTTTACTCACAAACAAGCTCCTGCACCACAACTCTTTCAGCTCCAATATTGTGAATGAATTTCCTGCAGTACTGACAAACAACAATTCACCCTGGGGTATGTGGTGAATACTCAGATGCCAGATTAATTTGGGGATATTTTTAAATTCTCAGGGCTACCTTAAAAGTGGTCAAACTGCTTGCATGCAACCCAAGAGGCATGAGCATCCCCAGCTCTTGCAGAGCACTGTTGAGACAGGAGGATGTAGTTCAGTTGTTATGATATCTGCCTGTTTCAAATTAAGTTTACAGAACCCAAATACTTCTGTTTTATAACACATCCCCACCATGCAGAAAAGGGCTTTGCAAAGGAGCACCTTTTTCCCTATAAATACTTTCTCAGAAATGCAGTTTACATGTGCTCTCAACAATTCCTTAAGAGCCCAAACTGTCCAAAATTCAGGTGTAACCTGAGGCTAACAGTAGGGCAGGATTTGTTCTCTCCTACTGAAGGAGCAACTAAGCATATGGTTATGGTGGCCAGCAGGGCCTGGTACAGCCTGGTGTGAGGACAGAGTTTGGGGCAGGTGAACTGAGTTCCTTTCAACTCCTCTACAGACATGATTTCCACTACAGATACCAGGAGAACAACTGTTTGGGTATTAAAATGTTGGCACAATATAATATTTTAAAAGAATTGATTTAGGCTGCAGACTGGCACACAGAAGGTGCTTTTTGACGTTCTGGAACAGTCTTCCTGGAGGCTGCAGGGCTAGAATAGTCTACCTATTTTGGAAGAGAAGCATGATCTTTTTATAAAAGGATAAAGCCACAGGAGACGGTGACTGCTGAGGTGGCAAGGACTGAACACACTGAATCCTGAAGCTTCTTGTGACCATGAGTTCCCAAAATAAACAATTCCTTAATAGACCTGACAACCTCTGTACCAGGATCTGTATCCCCTAGCACTTAAAAACCTGTGTAAAGGTTCATCTAAGATTCAAACAAAGAACTTTCCCTTTGGGCACTGTTCTGCATCATGGTGCCCCAGGAGGATTTTCACAACTGCCCTGACATTGCCTGTGCTTAATAAACTCCCCATTAAGTGTTTCAAAAGCAGGTACTGAAATTAGCACTTGTGTGAGGTAAACGGTGTGCTGGAGAGCAGGCTGCACAGCTCAGTGAGGTGCAGCTCTGGCTTCCCTGCTCTGCCCCTTTCACTGAAACACTGCAGGACTGGACTGGCAGGAGCACAGCTCACTGCTATATTCACAAGGAATCTTTGCAGTGCAAAAGTGGCAAGCTTTGTTTCTTTTGACCAAACTCTGCTTCTACAGAAAATTAACTGAATTAAGACTTGTTCACAAGGGCATGTAGTGATAAGACAAGGGGCAAAGGGCTTTAAACTGAAAGATGGAAAGTGTAAGTCAGATATTAGGAAAAAAATCCTTTACTACGAAGGTGGTGAGGCACTGGAACAGGTTGCCCAGAGAGGCTGTGGATGTTCCCCATCCCTGGAATCATTCAAGGCCAGGCTGGATGGGGCTTTGGTGTAGTGGAAAGTGTCCTTGCCTGTATCTGGGGGGTTGGAACGAGATGTTCTTGAAGGTCTCTTCCAATCCAAACCATTCTATGACTCCATAAGACAGAATGAAATCTTAGTGCAAGTTGAAGCACCAGCAATCATTTCAGTAGATTCCAGATTTCAGGCAGATGAGTTGCTCCCTGAAGCAGCATGACAGTGGGCACACCTTTGAATCTGCCTCAGGTTCTTTCTAGGGTAAGTGATTTTCTAAAAACACACCAAAACAAAACCCTGAAACAAAAAAAAATTGTTGAGTGAAATAAGGCACTGCAAAGTTTGAGAAAATCTGATCTCAGTGCCAAAACATGAGGGAGAGGAGAGAGCGGTGGGGCTGGGGACCAAAATTTTCACTGTCATGGCATGAACTCGTCACAGATCTTTGACAAAGGAAAACCAACTTGTCCTTTGCACCTCTGTCTGTAAAAACAAGATGATAATAGCGACAGTAACACTCAGTTTGTGAAGTGCTTGCAAATTGAGAGAGAAAAGGTGAAAAAAGTATGATATCTGGAAAAACACTACGCAAATCACAAAAATTTTGCAAAGATAACTTTAGCTTAGATAAATACAGAGAAAACCCTTTGTCACTGCTAATTACTATGGGTGCCCTCCAGAGTCAGTGGAGTACAGATGTCCACATGAATGTCACCCCCAGGTCACCAATTCTAAACTTCATGGGATGTGACAGAGTCTGAATAAAAGCTACAATCCTGAAGGGTAGGGTTCATTCCTTACAAGTCAAGCATCCACTCCAGGCTTGTCATTTGGCCCAACAGCAGAGTCTGGCACTGCTGTACAACAACTCACCCTGATACAAGGGAGGGGTTTGCAGCCAAGCTGAGCTGCTCCCTGTAAAGGCAATAGCTTTGCTCCCAAAGGGAGATTCAACACTGGGATAGCTGAGCTAAGCAAGTTGCCACCTCAGGTGTAGGTGCCACTAATGCTGTGGGAAGAAAAAACCAAAATTGCTTGAACTAATAAACATTGACGGTATGTTGAGGCATACTGGAAGCAGCATGGTAACATTTGTACTTTTATGGACTTTTCATTCAAGAAATGTCATAAAAGAAATGCAAATAAAAATGCTATGTTGGCAAGAGTTCCCAGGCTGAGCTTTATTCCCAATTCACATTGAAAGGCAATAAATAATTCTGTGAAGAGTAACTGCAGCAACCCCAGTCACTGTGCATACTACTCTGTCCAGCCTTAAACCTCCCAAAAGGAAAACTTCCAGAGACCTGCCACCAAACCTCTCTCTAGACACACACATAGTAACTCAAGGAGAAATTAGAATTTTGCTCTTACTTCAAATTTTTCTATTCAGATGGACAAATGCTCCTTCTTGAAGCACGAATCACCCCAAGAGAAAACCATGAAAGAGCTAATGACCCTTCAAAAGGAACCTCAAGGGTCTGCGTTTGGTAGCTGATTCAGCCCCTCTGTTTAGTAGAAAAAGTACTGCTCTGGCCTATGAGCTTGGCTTTGTCTTTAAACATCCCATGCCATGTCTTCTAAAACCCATTATGGATAATTTATTTGTTGTGTGATCCTTGCAGAACATGGGAAAAATTACAACTGGATAGAATTCATGAGGACTACAAGATGACGCAGGAAGATAAAATTAGTTTATTTTACTCAAGGACACCAAGACCTTCACAAACCATTCAAACACATTCCAAGAACTGTGGTAATTTTCTCTGTTGCTTTCTGAAACAGAGAAGAAAATCCCTGCAACTCGTCTTCTGGACTATAAAAATTCCACAAGAGCAGTAACAGGATCAAAGACTTTGTATTTGAAAAAAAAATTGATAATACAGACAATCTATCTTTATTTCTTCTGCTGGTTCAAGCATGAATCCTTTCTAGGCTGTACGTGGAAGAGGTGTAATCTCAGAAAACACCTCACTGGAAGTAGTGTTTTTAACCATAACATCATTCACATGCCTTTTTTTTTTTGCATATCCAGTAAATTACTTCATTCAAAAAGTGTCATCTTAAGGCACATGTCTGCCCAAAAGCTGACCTGGTCTGTGAGAGGCATTTGGGTCACTGGTTGAGTGGGACACCATCTAAGCCCATCTCTGGGTATGGTTTTTGTCATGTGCCCTTGCACACTCACTTCATTCACTGTGCACTTCCTGCAGTCAAATGGTCTTGGGGCTGGTGAACATCCAAGACACGCCAAGCACTTTTAACTATGGAATTCAAGATAGTTTGCTCCAAAGATGAAATGTGACTCAACTTTCTTCTCAAAGGGAGTTTAGCCAAGAACTCCTCTTGATTGGTTACAAGTCATCAGAATCCAGTGCTTGAATTTCACACAAGCTGTTTTCATTCCTGCAAAGCCCAGAGATGTGATACGTCTTTATTTGCTCATACTTTTAAAAGTTCTTTCCAAGAAGAGCAATATGACTAGTACAATACTGTGGGCATAAATAATGAAACACTGAGCCTGGAACTCTGTTTACGGACTATTCACTTAAATGACAAAAAGCAATAATAGGCTTTCTACGTAACAGTATCACGTTGGGAGGCAGGGAAGAAACGATCTCCTTTTTGTTCTGCATTAGTGACACCTGACATAAGGAACA